TGCACTGCTCAGTCTGACATCCCTCACTTGTGTGCGTTCCCTTTTGCCTGAGTTAGAAGCTGACACAGAGGTCAGAGCCTCCATATCCTATTCCAGCATGAGCCCCTACGTTTTAAAGAGACCCAACCCAGACACCTATGATTGGAATACAATCAACAGCCTTTCCAGATAGACCCCAGCAGAGATCAGGGCTCCATTCTGCCGAGGCACCTGCATCAAAGAGCTTACACCCTGGTAAAAAGGTGGGAGAAAAGACTGGGACCTTCACTTTGGAACTGAGGAACAGAGAGAGACTTAATGAAGTTTGCACAGGGAGAGTGTGGCAGAGAGGCAGAGTGAGACAAGGTCTCCGTTTCTCCGTATGCCCTTCTGTGAATTTAATGCAAAATGCACTGACATAGAAGCCGGGATACTGGGAGGATCTCTTGCTTGTGTGGGAAATTTCGGTGTCCAGTTTCAGAGCTGCCCTTGCTTTCTCACCACCACTGCCAGGGGATCTTGGGTGTCTTGCAGCAGCGGTGGAGAAAAGCATCTCACACTGACATCCTTCCATGGGCACTCCCTGGCTGAAGTTGAAGATGCAGGGGAAGAAGAACGATGTTCAAAGGAGCGTCCCCTCAAAAGGGACATTTTGCAGGACCATAGGAGCAGATGCATCACAGCCCCCTACGATTTTCATTTTCTTGGGGTTTAAAGGGTCTTTCTTACCCTTGGAGGGAAGATATCTGCTTTATTGCTTCCTAATGCAGCCAGATAGGTTATCCAAGGGGCGAGGGTTAGGTAACCCTGCTGCTATTGTCACTGGAGTCAGAAACAGGCCAAATGCCCAGCTTCCTGGCTCTGTGTGTCCTCCCCATGAAACCACACTCCTCTGCCTGGCTGCTGCTCCTCCAGATCCCAGTCCCGACACAGCTGGGCAAAGCTGCAGGGTCGGCCAACCGCTGCTGTCCCGGGGAGCGATACCAGCTGCTCCCGAGGCAGCGATGGTGCTGTAGGGCTGTCCTATATTGCACCCACACGTACACACCCCAGCTCCTCTCCCCATGTGCTGGGATGCCCATTGCACACCCCGCCCTGGGCTCCTGGCAGGCCGGCCAGTTCCCCGTGTTACAGGGTGGGGAGGGAAGATGTTCAGAGTGCCTGCAGCTATTCAGTTACCGATGGTTGTGTTTGAAGAGCTTCCCTATCGCCCTTTTTTTAAAGCTTTGGCTTCCCCCCATAGCCTCAACAGATGAAATCAAAGGGAAGTAGCTTTGCTTGGTGTAACCTGTTCTGATCAAACAGATAAATGGGGAACAAGTGTCTGACACAAACAAACAGACAGACAGAGGCAAGTCCCACTTCAGCATTTTGTTGCATCAGATACAGAGGGCTTAGATAAACCACAAGAAGGGGGAGATCTCTGCCTCTCGGCTTGAAGACCAGGGGCGACACTCTGCAGTGCCAAGCCCCCACAGTTCCCATAAAAAAAATCAACCCAGAACTTGCTGGCATGGCTTTCATCAGTTTAAAAAGATGAAAAGAGCTTACAGCCAAGCATAAAACTCACGCTTGTCATTACCCCCCATGGAGTCAGTGGGACTGCCTGCGAGCCCAGCCATAGCCACTGCATGCCAAGTGTCAAACCACGCTGGCATCACACAGGAAAGGGTAAAGAGGACCCTCAGATAGGAGAGATGACCCGGTGCTCGGGCTGGGGCTGACCTACACAGCTCCTGGGCGATGGGGGAAGGCAGTTCGACTCACTGCCCTCGCCCAGAGTAACTCGTACCTGTTCCTCTCTTCCCCCTCACACATCTAGCGTGATAAAAAAGGCAGAGTTAAAGTAAATGAAGGCTTAAGATTCACAGGACTGAATAGGGTAGGTGATATTCCTAAGATTTTTTTTTTTTTAAATCATGGCTCTTTGTAAAATGGCAAAATTTCACTACAACCAGTAGACATGGAGGAGGTGGAATCAAACACTCATGACTTTTTTGGAGAATATCCTACTAAAAGCTTTGAAGCATTTTCAATGAAATTGGTGTGAATGAAAAAGGAAAGAAAAGCTTAGCTTTCCTAACCTCCTATGAAAGATGAAAAATTTTGACAATTTTCTCAGAAAAGAAAAAGCCCCATGATTACTTTAAACACTCTCAAAGTAAAACAATGCCCCAAATTACCCTTTTTTCCCCTCTAAGCCTAGAACTGGCAGAGATATGAAAGGATGAGATTATGCTTCTGCTACTGACACTTCCCATCAGATCTTTCGGCATCAGTTTTAGATCAAGGGCTTGGTTTACAAAATATTTTGGCACCCAACTCCCTCCACTATTTTTTGGTTTGGGTTTTGTGTTGTTTTTTTTTTTTTTTAAAAAAATCTCCTTGGAGCCAGTCTGCATCTTCTGGTGATGAAAGGCCTTTGTAAATCTGCACCTAGAAGAATTTCCATTCTTTATAAGCTATAATATTGTTAGTTTGGTAACTGTCCTCTCATTTGGGGGGGCAACAAGGTTCCTGAAGAGCTGTGTGAATTGGTCCAACTCATTAGGAAATGGGTCTTCAATTAATGAGTCACTGGAAAACAGATTTTCCCACATGAAGCTAGTAAACAAAACACTAAACTATTAAGTGTTGCAGTAAATATTTCTCTAACAGTGTGTATAAGGGAAAATAAAAACTTCCAGGGAAGTTTTGTACAAAGAGCTTTGTTGTTTATAAACAGAATGGTCGTAAAGATGGGAAAAAAACCCCAACAAAATCTGACAAAGATGCTTAGAGGTTTTCGGTGAAGCATCTAGGCAGACCCTCTGTGGGCTTGGCTGCTTGGGACTGCCAGTGGGGCCGATGGGCCAGGTTACACCACCTGAACTGTAACATAGAGAGCAGAGCAAGAGCTGCCATCCTACCCTGGCCACCCTCTTTGGGAGCCCTGCAAGGGACTGGTCACCCCACAGGAGGGGTTGGGGCTATTTGCTAGAGTCCCACACGAAGCCCCTAACTCTCTGCAGTGTCCCTCATCTCAGCTAAGTCCGATGTGGTGATCTCTGAAGATCCTGAACAGACCAACCAGTCACGGGGACTGCGTTAGAACAAGGAATAATTTAAACAGGTTCCTTGTATCAGTCCGCAGGGAAGTGTCACTCTTTTGCAAATGAAGGCGATTTACTTGTTCTGATTTCCCTGCTTGATTTGAAGGCTCCTAGAGCAGAGCTAATGCTGCTGCAAACATTTTTGTTATTTCAAAACAAATTGACTTCACTTCTCTGCTTTCTTTTCTCAATTACCACTAGAAAGAGGTGCTACAGCTAACAGTAATGGCTGTCTGGAAAGCTTAAGCTGAAAAACATAATTTATCCAATCAATTGTGGTGCCAGCTGCTCCAGCCTGTTTAACACTGACTACAACATCAGCAGCCAGAGTCTCCAACTACGTTTAGTAACAGCCAATACAAAAACCAAATACCGACTCTCAACACAGCCTTCCCTAATCTTGATTCAACTATGCTATCCATCAACTCTTTGTGCCAAGATGCACGAAACATTTCAGGAGACTCTGGTTCCCAATTTAAGGCCCTGTAACAGCTACGTGGTCTTTTCTGAAAGAGCTTGGGAAGTTGGGGACCTGTTTGTTGCTAGGCGGCTTGGAAACGTTCATCTCAAAAACAGCTTGGGGTCATCTGAAAGCCCTGAGCAGAAGCTGACCTGACCAAAGTCAATCAGAGTTCATGGATGTGAGTAGAACCAGATTTTATCTCTATATTAGATGATGTCAAATAACCTTCCTTAATAGCTGAGAGTACAGAGGATTTATGGTCCTCAGAGTAAGGTGTAAATAAAGGGGTAGTTTTCGTCCCATTAAAGTATGCCTAGAGTTTTCTGTCTTTACCAAGATCTCTTTTTTTTTTCTCTAAGTTCTCTCAAGTGACAGAAATAAAAGAGAAACAGTAAAATCATTCTGTGTAAAGTTTTGGTCTGCTGTTACACATCCTCCCCACTCCAAGCTTAGGGGCTCTTCTTTGCTCAAAGAACAATGATTCTCTGACATTGTCTCTATTAGTTTGGGTTTTAAAATGTGCTTACTTCTAAATCTACAGATGAGCCTCATGGTTTTGAATAATCTTAATTTGTTATACCTAGTGGGTGCTAAAAATATTTCTTATTGCTGTTTGTTTGCCTAAAAAGGAATCTGACCATGAGCCTTTGTGAAATTACAGCCTCAAGGTCTTGTATTCAAAGCCCACTGCAGGCAGTGGCAGTCAGAAGCAATGCGAGAAAATACAAAACTGATTTTTTTTTGGTGTATATCACACCTTGTGGCAGTGCAGGAGCTGGTAGATAACCTGGCAGAAATCAGTGCTAACCCCAGAGCTATCATCTTCAAAGGATCACTTTGTTTATCAGCTTTGCATGTTCAAGGAAAACTGGGGCTTCTAGCCACGGAGTAGCGAGAGTCAGAGCAGCCATCAGATGGGAGTAGTGGAGATGAGAAATGTGATCATGCTTCAAGATGAAAAACGATAGATTTTTGTTGGAACTACCTAGCTGGATTTGATTATTCCCAAAGTCCCTTCCATTTTTCTACATATATATGGCCAAAAAAGGCTTATTCCCTGGAGGGTTTTGTAAAAGGAAACCTTCCTGACGCGAACCCTGCGTAAACTGAAGAGCTGTTTGTGCTAAACTGAGTGGACCAAGGCTATTTCAATGGCATTATTCCTTTGGCAAGACATGAGTGTATTTCCATGCTAAAACCGCTGAGGACATTACTGAGACACACACTGATCCACTGCTGTTACAGAAGGATCTTGCAAGCTGATCAAGATACGAACACAATCCTCGCCCAGAGCGCATCCTTGATCAACTCCCAGGCTGGTTGGCAGAGCGCAATGTAGCAGCAACAGGAGTCAAACAAAGCAAGGACAGAAACTTCCAGCACCCATGTCCCCCCCTTTTCTTTTCTTTCCCCTGCCTCCTCAGACTCCCTTGCCTGCCCCTCCCCGCGTCCCAGACCCTCCTTACCTGGCTCCACCTGGTCGGGTTCATGCCGAGTATCTGTGGAATCTGCCGCATCGCCGCTCATCTTGATCTCTGGAAAAGGAGGCACAACTGATTTTAATAACAGGTCACAGTCCCAGGCAACAGGCACATGTGGCTTCCACTAAACAGCACAAATGAATGTGTAATTATAATAAACCATCAGACTTTCAAATTTCTTATTCCTCAACATACAGTCACTAGAATATTCATCAGCTCCGAGGATGCACTTTCCCTCCTGTTGCTCTTTGCATCCCCTTCATTCCTTTCCCCCCTCCCCAATTTGCTGCTGTGTTCTCACCTTTCGCATCCTTCCTCTCTGGCACAGAGGACGAGGGACCCCTCCCAGCCTCTCCCCCAAGGTTTGTGCAGGGTCCCCAAGCCAGATGGTGTGGCTCTCAGTTTGAAACCATCCTCCACCACATCTGCAGAGGCAGGGGATCCCTCTCAGCTTTTCCCTCCTCTCCCACATCCTTTCCTCATCCCTCGAGATGGCTCAGCCAGGCCAGTGCTCGGTGCTGTACAAAGCACGTGCAGGGAGGACTGGCCTCAGAAAGGCAGGGACAGAGCAAGATGCTCTCAGACAGAGAAGCCAAGTCCCTCTTCTCCACTTGCTCCCTTGCAGACTCAGGTTGTTTCAATAAGTCTGATCCCTATTTGCAAACTATTTACCCCACTATCTCCCACAAGCATGTGCTCACACCCCTTGAAAACCACGATGAGGCTGTCTTGTTCCAAAGCACTGTCCCCAACTCAGGAGCAAGAAGAGTGCTTTGCTGTCAAGTTCCTGCATATTTCCCCCATCCATATCAACGCCAAGAAATTTGTCATTTACCCTTGAAGTGATGGCTGCCACCACACCCGGGGCCACGTTCTCCTTCGGGGACAGCTGAAAGAAAAGGTGGGAATAGTCAACTTTACAATGGATTGCTCATCTCCTCCTTAAAAGAGGCAAAGTACACAGCAGTGAAAGAAGGAAGAATATCTATTCAAATTCAGATGGACACCCCCTCGAACTTCTACTCTTTGCATGGGAATTTTAACTCTTTCCAGGCTACTTAGTGAAAAAAAGATTATTTTTTTTTTATAAAGAACCAACTGATTTGCATGTGCTTCCTGCAGCCAATCCCGGCCACAGAAGCCATCTGATTTGCATTGGGTAATAACAACAGCATGGAAGCTGGGCCAGTGTTTGCTGTGGTAGAAAAGGCAGGTGGAAGCCTTCTTACAGGCATCATGCAAACCTTTTCCTCTTTCCTATATATACCCTGTATTATTTCCAAATGGCCAAAAGGGTGAGAAGAACCCTATAAGTTTTTATATCCATTTCCCTCTATTACTCACACTAAAGCAGGCAGGCCTTTTTGTTTGTTTGTTCAAGTTTTCTTTTCCCCTATTCAAACTTCCAGTGTATAAATAGTAAATTATTTTCTTTTTGGCAAAAATTGAAAAGCTTTGTTTAGGTTAAAGTTTGAAACTTCTTCTTCAATAAATGAGTAAAGGAAGGAAAAAATAACAAGATTTTATACCAGGGAAAGGGTGCAGGAACATTCACGTACTTCAGAAACTTCCTTTCTTTAAATTGTATTAAGGAGCACGGGGAAAAGGAGAGAGAAGAGTTGTGGGAAATTTTCTTTCCCCTTCAAATAAACCCGCTGCAATTAAGACATGAACGTTTAGTGGGGCTTCTAAGCAATTCTACTGCAGGAAGAGTAATTATCATCAGCTATGAACATCTTATTGTCTTGTAATACTGCCAAGGGACCCTAACTTAGGCAATATACAAAGCACAAAGTTTTGCTTGCTGCCAAAAACTATCTTTCAAAAAAAGCCAAGTTCTCATAAAACAGAGTAAGAAAAATCTTAAATCATGCAGAAGCTTGATGCTTGCTTTAGTGAGACAGTCTGCAAGTTCCTGAAAAAAAGTAATGCAGGTTTCATTGTGAGCACACAAATAATGAATGAATGCATGTCAGTGAAAGAAAATGATCTAATCCCCTAGACCAAGGAGCACCTTATGAGCCCAGAGCAGTTCAGGCAGAGCTGAAGAATGGAAGATGCAAAAGCAAACCATGATAAGCCCTCCCAGGACTGAGCCCTCAGCCCCTTTACTGTTTATAAACTGGGGTGGGCAGGAAAGGAGAAATTGCAGCTGTGCAACTGTGGCTTGATTACATGCTATCCATCCGTTAAATTCCCTCCTGGAGTCAGGAGGTAACAAGATACACTGTGATTCTCTCATACATAGAGCAGAAGAATTTCATTTTCACAAAGATTTGAATTCCCATCCGAAATATACACATATTTATTACATTTTTATTCCATAACTGTAATAAAAGTTTAAATGTCTTGTGTGGAAAAAAAAATCCAGGAAGAAAAGTAAAACCCTTTTGATCAAAGCCTACTGATCTGAGTGGTTTGGGGCTGGCCAGCTTTTGTATACCTATGGACAGCAGTGCAGCACCAGTCATCCTCCAAGGGGTCCTTGGAGAACATATGGAGGAATTACTTCCTAAAGTGATACAAGCATAGTCAAGATAAAGACAGCACCTTTTTATTGACACCAAAGAGTCTTCCACTATAAACCAGGATGGAGTGATATATCTGGATTTGAACCCCTCTGCCCCCATCTGACAAAATATCTCGAGATGAAACAGGCTGAGACACTGAGTCCAACCAAATGCAGGCTCCACCATACAGCTTTGCTGGGTCGGCAATATACAGAGAATAAGCAGGCTAGCAAAAAAAATCTCTGGGAAAAATAATGCAACTTAGGACTGCCTAACTCCTAACCACAGACCTATTAGGAGCCGCCGCTGTGGCCTGGGCCATATTAAAAATGTGCTGCTATACCTCAGTTAGCAAACATACCTGGAGTAGGGGTAGTCTGGCTTGTTCACCCAGACCAAAGAAACTATACCAGTGCAGACACTTCTCTGGGGATATATCTGCATCTGTATTTTTGCTGAAACAAATGGTGTCAGCAAATAAAGCTTTCCCAAGCCCTTATTCCTAGTGTTGTTCAGACACAGGCATTAGGGTAAACCAGCCTGATGACTTTAAAAGGAAAAATGAAAGCTAGTGATGGGGGGGGCACTCAGCTTGGCTGAGACCATTACCTATGGAATTTTCTGCGCTTTAGGTGCCCCAACCCCTCTGGAGCCTGCAGGAAGGTGGAATATCCAAATGCCTGGGGAGGAGGCAGTGGTACATGCCAGGGAACACGCTGCTGCAGGGAAACCCTCCTGGCAGGGAGGAGGCTGTGCAGAGCCCAAGCAGCCCACCTTCACCTTGCATGCTGCGTCTTCCACGCACGGCCGGGGGAGAAACTGAGCACACTTCTGCCAGCAGCTTACTGCAAGGCCTTGTCTTTGGGGGCTCCGAGGCCGAACACGCTGCACTGCCTTTGCACAAGGGTGAAGAAACACCCTCCCACCAGTGCTGGGCTCTGGCACACAAAAGTGGTCAGGCCCGGGCTGGTCTTCCACCCTGCAAAAACGCTACTTAGACCTTGGGCCCTTCTGACAGATGGCGGGGTGGGATGACTTGGGAGAATGGAAGTTCAGCGCGCACCCAGCTCTGCGCAGCTCCTGGCCAAATCCACCCTGGGAGTGATGCCACTGGCTTTGACAGAGGGCACAGTATCGATTTTGGGAATCTTCTCATGAAGAGTCGCCCACAAGCGAAGCAGATGGGTGGATAGGAGCCTGCGGGGGATGCGTCCCCGAGAGACACCACACACAAGCACACCCATCGCAGGTGCTCAGACTAGTCAGGCTCACACGCTGAGCCAAGACCACGAGCCTCCTGCAGCCTCTCCTCTCGGCTGGCAGTGCAGTGCTGGGGGGTCCCGAGCTGCCCGCTCCGGGGCTGGCACAGGGGGCCAGCCTCCTCACTGGGGTGCCAACTGGCCACAGAGGGGCTGCTGG